TCTTTGTACTGTTTGGTGGACAACTATAGTCAACGGAGGTACGGGTTAGTCAAGGATAGGATACTCTGGTGAGTGAAACTATTTTAAGAAAGATAATAGAACCAGATCAAATACCACAAAGAGCCAGAGAGGTGTGAGATATTCAAGTAGCACGAACTGGAGTTGCAGAGTGGTTCCATGTAGTTAGATGATTTAGAGTAGTCGTCTCATCTCCTTGAAAACTTCCCATATAACGAACCTGCCTAGGTCAATGTATTTTCCAGCGCTGGTTCATGCCAGTGATACCTTCTACGTCTCTCTGATATCTCCTAAGCTCTTCTAAACCAAAGACAGTGTTTTCTCAGATGTTCCAAAATTTCTGATAATGACCCAACATGACCAATAATACTCAATTATCTATGGCGACTTAACCATGGTATTTATGAGATCCGTATGATCATTTTGATACCATGAATGTCTACATCACGATAATTTCCTAGCAATATTTCGCATTTTGGCATAGCCACCCAAATTCTACTTCTCCACACAACTCCCTCAATCTTCCCCAGAAATACGCATACAGTCACTGGAAGTCTACCACTGTGTTCCCAGAGGCCAGTAGAGTCCAAAACCCCCCATCAATAGCTCCTACGAGATTAGTTCATACTATCATCGATGATCCTCCAGCCCTTCTTCATCACCAAATCTGTTCAAACTCCGTCAGAAATACTCGTACAGACACAACGACTTGACCATTGGATCTGCCTTGGCCTTGTGATCATTTTGGTATGCACTACACCCTTGATCTCACATTTTTAAATAGCAGCGACAGAAATGGTATTTATGAAAAGGAGTATAGGCGCAATGTATCTCTAGAAGCGTAATAATGTAGTAAAATAGTACATTTGTAGGAATCGTTGGGGATTCAGGGAGTTCTAGAGGAATAGTACTGTTCCTGTCAGCTCAAGTTACAACTGTACTCTAGCTCGTTGAGTATGATTGTGTACCAACGAGATATCTCAAAATGACCTTTTTGAATCAGATAACTGTTCATTCGTAACTTGTACTGAGTCATGGGACTGGGTATCATGTGGAGGGTATCACCTGAAGAACCAGTCAATATCTTTCCTTCGTGTCAATATCTGTTCTCTTCTTTCACCATTTGTATATTTCATTGAGTTCAGATAATGCAACTTGGATAACCTTATCGCAAAAAATTCCATCTTAATCCACCCAATATATCTTTCTAGATACCCTAATACTGAGAGAAATACGCCATTTCTCAATTTGTTGGCACGGTAACAGCTTACTGCCCTTTCTATTCCCACCTAATATCATTCAAAGGTCACAACAAACATTTAAGAACCCCTTATCTCAATTAAGACTGTTATCAATTAGTTTATATAAGTGCCTTTCCTGTTCCATTCCTCTTTTCTCCCGTTTTCTTTTCCAGGCGGACTTTTCTTTCGAAACTAAAACTTCCACCACCCAGTAACTTCTGCCTCACTGGCGACCCTAACGCTGATTTATCAGTGGAAAAACGGTTGTTGTTGTAAATCATTTACACACAGTCTATTTAGCGGAAAAACGGTTTGTTTGTTTTCCAACCGTATACAAAGGAAAACAGACGATTACGAGTGGTTTACACTCAGTCTCCTTCGGGAGAATAAAGTAAGTCCAACCACCCCAACTTCCGCGTTTCTACTTATAGACACAACTGCACCCAACTTCTTCAGAAATACTCTCATCACCACGACGAGTTGACCAGTGTATTCCCCTGAGTCTGAGGATTCATTTGATACCCTAAAAATACCTGTTATCTGCTCCTACTCAAATTCTACACTTACTCTCCCAGTTCTTATTTACCACACAACTCCATGTAGCTCCCTTAAAAATACCCACAGAACCTCAGTGGTTAAATCACTTAATTCCTATGATCTAACAGTTTCATTTGGAACCCTTCACTGCTCGCCCACCATCGTTTTACAGGATTTATCCCCCACACCCCATTCTGTCCCTACTCAGAAATGCTCCCCAAGTTCTTCAGAAATACCTGGATCGATATACCAAGCTGTCAAACGCATTTCACAATACAAATCAGTGTGACAATACCATTCAATTTGCTTCTGATATTTCTTGTCTATTTTTAGCACCAGCCGTCTCAGTTGTACCAACTCACATGTGTCGGTCTAGAAGTTGGAAAAACATATAAACATAGGATTGGTGGGTACCATAAGAATTGTGCGACCTCCGAGAGCTCGATGATCAAGTCCGTGTGTTTGTAAGAGTATTATTGGAGGAGTTGGGTATAGTTGTGTGAATAGGTAGAATCAGGAGGGCTGGTCTAAAAGTTGGAAATACCTAGTAATAGTGGTCCAAATGGAACCAACAGAATCGTGTGATTTTGGAGAGCATGATGATCAAGTCCCTGTAGTCATACGAGTATTTCTGGAGGAGTTAAGAACAGATGTGTTAACACGTAGCTACTGGAGAGTGGGAACTAAAACTAGTTTGAGTACAGTAGAATAGGATTAGCGGGAACCATTATAATTGCATAACCTCAGGAAATACAATGATCAAGTCCATTTGTGTATACGTCTATTATTAGAGGAGTTGGGGCCATATGTGTGAATATGCAGAATTGAATGTGCTAGTGCTAAAAGTAGATATGGTACAGTAAAAGGGATCTGATGAGTACCATTAAAACGATGAGGACTGTGCAATCACAATTATCAAGTCCCTGTAGTCGTACGGATATTATTGGACGAGTTAGAGACAGGTGTATGAATACGTAGAATTGTAAGTCGTAGAGCAAAAAGATGGAAAAGGACAGTGGAGAGATTAATTTGGTGCCATTAGAACCGCCTCGCAATGAGGATCACGGGAGTCAAGTTCCTGTAGAAGTAAGGATATTTCTGGAGGAGCTAGTGGTAGTTGTGTGAATACGTAGAATTGGAAAGTTTGGTCTAAAAGTTGGTAAAACATAGTAATACAGGCTTAATAGGTACCATCAGAATCACCTGATCCAGAAGAACGTAATTGCTCAGCCCCTGTGGTTGTAAGAATATTATTGGGCGAATTAGACACAATTCTGTGAACATGTAGATTTTGGAGTGTGTGGACTAAAAGTAGACAGCGCATCGTAACATAGACCAGGTGGGTCCTTTAACAATTGCACGAACTCGATGAACACGGTGATCAAATCCCTGTAGTCGTATGAGTATTTTCGGAGGAGTTAGACCCCGTTGTGTGAATATGTCAATTTGGAAGGCTTTGTACTACAACATGGAAAAAGATGGTGAGTGGAATTGGTGGGTACTGTACCACCTGAATCACGTAGCTCTAAAGATTACAATGGTCAAGTCTTGGTTGATATTAGAGCATTATTGAACGAGTTGGAAGCAGGTGTGGGTGCATATACAATTAGGAGGGTAACGGTGGTTTACACCTCAGCTTTGTGAGAAGCGAAAGTAATCCAGCTCGGGTGTGTTCGGTTTATGGCTGTCCTGATAGGCTAGCGTCTCTATACCACATGTGGTGTAGACAGCCACTAGCTGTATGTAGATGGAATTGGTTGTTGTATGGAGGTAGAACTGGTTGCTACAACAACTGGTTATGAAGTTGTATTGATACTTGTAAGTGTCGTCAAGGTGACTTCTCTTAAGTCTTTCTGAGAACTCTGAGTTACCAAAGCAGCCATTCAAGAAAGACTTACATGTTGGACTTGATTCATTTTGGACTTGTAAAAAATGAGGACAGAACGTTTTACAGGTTTTAACCCATACCTAGCCTATAAGTAGGACTCTGTAAGAGATGACATGGTTTAATTTCCCTCGTTATCCCCATGTATGACTAACGCAATGTACTTTCTACAAGTATTGTACCTGTTTCTTTGGCTGACAAATACTCTGCTAGAAGGAAACATTTTCTACTTCTCGGAACTGATCTTGTGCAAGTTGAACGAGTATAGTGTGCTTTGAAGACACCTTACAATACTTACAGATACTAAGAACTGAGCTATTGGATCACCATTTCGTCTTACTGTGCTGTTCTTTTCAGAGATACTAAATTTCCTTCTCCTTAGAACCTCCTACAGCTCCACCAGAAATACTTCCAAAACTATGGGATGTTCACTGCTGTGCTAATACGAGCCTGGCCATTCCTCCAGTTACATTTCTGATATTCTTACCACCTCTTCCAAATTTTACCGCCTTTTTTCTAACTTTTCACCTTCAGCAAGAATTCTGCTTATTCACATTATTATCTCAGAAATACTCGTACAACCACAGGGACTTGACGGTTGCATTCCTGTGTATGAGGACGTTAAGGAAATACAATTGGAATATCCCCTTTTCGTTCTTTCTCACTTTTAACAGAGACGCCCTGAAACAGCCCTTACATACAACCCCCCTGAACTCCACAGAAAATGCACACACTTGTATGGGGACTTGACGAGAGTATTCATCGGAGTTAGACAATCCTAATGATACCAACAATCACCCTTCTACAGCTTTTTTACCACTTTTTGCAGCCACCCTTCCAATTCAAAAACACACAGAACTCCCTCCTACTCTCTCAGAAATGTGTACAATACCAAGAAGAAGACAGAAGAGACCATATAATCCCTCACCAGTCATGAATCAAAACAGATTCACTTGTAACTCACTAGTCCCTGCTATGGGTTTTGTTGGATGAGGTGGACTATTATGTATATTCCTGTAGTTAAAGAGTTTAGTTAGATTTTGTTCAGTAAAAAGTCTGCTGGGGTCTCTATTTGGTGGTAGAAGACTTCTAGAGAGATGGGGGAGGTAGCACCGGTTAGTCAGTGGTATATTTATCAACTATTTCAACGTAAAAAGTACATGTTATCTCTAGAAATCAACAGATATTTCAATCTTCCCACTTTTCTCAAAAAACTTTACTTGACAAATATACTTGGCTATTGTTAGACAACCAGTTGCACGACTTACAAACAACCGCAAAACGCTTCTCAAAAAGATACCACCCTTTTTCGGGTCACGTGATCCAGCGGAGGATCGAACTCCGAGCCTCCTCGGAACACAGATGTAGACAAATGTGAGCGAGACGTGATAACCATTACACCACTGGACCCTTGGTGGGTGCCAGAGGGGAAGAGGGGGTGGTTGACGTGAAATTAGAAGTACTTTTCCGGGGAAAAATCAACGGAAATGAGTTTGGAGGGTTTCATCTTGCTATCTGTACTCAGGAGAGTACGTCTGTGTTTTTTGTTTCTTTATATCTGTCAAACTGAAAGATTTATGGGTGTCCCTAGAATACCACAGTGTTTTCATTTAGTTACTCTTAGTGGAGTACAGATACGCTGGATAAGATTATAGTTGGAGAAAATATCAACTCCACTACTTGACTAAAGACTTTTGTTGGATACCTCAGTAACTCATTGCTCTTACAAGGACTGCCAAAAACAGCACTATTGTGACCTATTCAGCTTCAATTGAGATTCTAAACGTACTCATATTCACACTGGAGCCCAGAGTCAGATATTTATACGTCATTAAAGATGATTCCAATGTTCAGATTTGGAAATTACGTGAAATGGTTCAATTTAAGGTTGCATAGATAGCACATTAACATTTCTATACGCGAGTTTATTATCAATATCTACCATGAGAGGGGTGGTTAAACAGGTGTATTCTGGGCAAAAGCACTCAAGAAATAGCTAATATCGTTCAACCAAGTCGCCTATTTATTCCGACGAAATTCCAGCCAGATTTGAGCTTTTTTGCGTCTTTTAGGGAAGAACAGCATTTTCACTGACTTCATCTTAAATGAAGATGGTCAGTCTTAAAATACTGTACTGGGACACTGGTCAGTGGAATGGGTCCATATCTCTGAATGTTGTGTTTAATATTATCTCCTGAGACTATCACATGGTCGTATATTTATATATTATCAGTTGATATTATGACTTTTTATTATTAGACAAGTCGAGTGCTGTGAGATGAACTATCTGAATTTAGTCACTAGCCATCCAATTATCACCATCTTAGCTTCTATTGTTCCTATATTCATTTTAGTACAATCTACTTCCAGTAGCGTACAGCATGCAGGTACAATCTCGTGCTAAAACTGGACTAAATCTGTATCCAAATTGGTGTATCTTTTGGTGAACTTGTCCTTGTTTGAATAGAAGTATAAACCACTTCAGATAAAGATACCTATCACACTCTCACTCTCACATGAGGATACACTACACTCACACCAAATACTCAATTGAGAACACAAACACCAAGGGAGAACTATGGTCACATCTAGGTGTCATACAACCTCAAACACACACATCAATGGTCAACTTACTCTTTTATCTTCCACAACCAAATTTGATCTTGATGCTTCCCACCACCTTATCCATGTGCCTACTCTAACTCGAACTTACGGAAATATGATCCGCATCAACATGACAGAAATGACTTCCTGGCACTTCTGACATGATTCTCTGGCACCATCACCATTCACTGACACGCCACCACTTCCTGACACAATCACCACCGAGTTTTTTGGGCTCATTGGGTATCCATGTCTGATCAATTATGTGGATATTACGCTACTGTACTCTCCCAAACCATGTCATTTGGCAGACTCAGTATCGCGTCTACAGTCCCTTTAGCTGTCAGTGCCAGCAGTCCCTCGAATAAACAGAAACAGCAAACAGAAACACTCGGACTGTCTAGATACTGCCACTTTTGAGGGCTTTTGGAGATGATTGAGACAACAGTTCTATGGGAAACGAGAATGCTTAGACAGACCAAGTCCTACCATAAACTACATCTTTCTGACTCTTCTGGTGACTCTGATTCTGAAGTCACATCTTTTAAAGTGTGACATTGAAACAGCATTGTCTCCAAAACAAGCTATTCTGACTGTGGAGAACTTCGTATCTTCACACAATCACAGCACTAACTACAGATACCAAAAACCACCTATTCCACATCTCATCCCAGCCTCCTGGGACAGTCATAAGAAGGCATCATCAGCCAACTTTCCTGGAATTTCCAAATTTCGTGGTCATTTCTCCTTTGTTTCTGGTAAGTACAAATACTTGGCTTTACGACTACACACCTCCTATGCACTTTTGTATTGTTATCTAAATCTTTGATCAGCGGTTCACCGCAGTCACAGGAGGACGGTCACAGGAGGAGTCGTTCCTCCTCCCCCTGTTCCTCCCCCTAGCTCACATGATCAAACAACATACTAACACTCTCTCCGTTGTGGATTCGTCGAATGGCCTCGGCAAACACTCGGGAAATGTCAATCACGTCCAGCTTTTCGCCCAGCTCAACGGCATGCTGGTCCTGGGGAGTCGAGTTGGTGGTGACAATCTTGTCAATCTCGCTCTTCTTAATCTTTTCCACAGCGTCTCCGGAAAAGACACCATGGGTAATCAGAGCATACACCTTGACGGCGCCCTGGTCCTTGAGCAGTTTTGCGGCCCGGGTGATTGTGTTGGAGGTGTCGAGCAGATCGTCAATGAGAATGGCGACTCGTCCACTCACGTCACCAACCAGCATGGTGGTGGCATTGTGTTTGCCGGCAATGTGGTCTCCGGAAATCTTTGTGGGTCTTCGCTCCTTGTGAATGAGCGCAAAGTCCATGGCGAGACCGTCAGCAATGGCAGTGGCTCGCTTGGCTCCTCCAGCGTCAGGAGACACAATAACTGCCTCCTGGTAGTTGGGGATCTGGGTGGTGATGTAGTGCTGCAGCAGAGGCTTGCCGTACAGGTTGTCCACGGGGATATCAAAAAAGCCCTGGAACTGGGGATCGTGCAGATCCATGGTGATAATGTGGTCTGCGCCAGCACAGGTGAGCAGCGAGGCAATCAGAGTACCACTCTGGGCCACCCACTGCTTGTAGCCCGTGTTGTAATCCTTGAAAAAGCCACTTTGTCTGGGTTTAGCTTTTTCCGACACAGACTCCTTCTTATCACAGTCCTTGTTGGGCACAACGGCTTTTGTGTACGGAACATCGGGCTGTCGAGAGTAAGGAAACAACGGCATGACAGCAGTCACCTTTTTCGCCGAAGCAGTCTTGCACGCAGAAATCATAATGAGCAGCTCGATGAAGTTGTCGTTCACGTGACCACAGCCACTCTGAACCACATAGACATCCTTCTCTCGCACACTGTCTCGAATGGTGACGGAGGTTTCGCCGTTTTTGAACTTGGCCAGGTCCACGTTGGACGGCTCGATGGCCAGATTGGCACAAATTCGCTCCACCAGTTTCGGGTGAGACGAGCCCGAAAAAATGGTGGCGGATCGCATGTTGGAGGCTATGGCGGGAGAGGGTGGAGTCGGCAAATATACCAGGTGGGTGGTATATTTATCCGAGAGATGGAGTATGGCGAGTAGAAGTGGTGGGTCGGTATTTTTTACAGACAACTTTTTTATGCGTCGAGAGGTTAACGGGAATAAGGTTTGTGGAGAAGGCGAAGTAGAGGTGGATTTCACGTTTTGCAGGAAGATGTAAGAATATCTGATTTGGACATTTGTGGAGATAGTGTCTAGGTGTATGTTTGATTTTCCGGTTTTTTCTGATTTTCCCAGTTTTTTCCCGTTTTTCCTGATTTTCTCTGATTTTTTTTTTTCAATTTATGGGTTTCTTTTTTTCTTTTCATTTTTTAATATTTTCGTTTCATTTTCAAACTCTTTTTTCACAACACCTGCCTAAATGGGTGCAAAGTGTTGCTGATGCTTGGAGGTGGTTTAACCAGGTGAAATCAGCTGTATTTGAGAAATGTCCGGTTTTCTCTTTGATTTTCAACTGTTTACGATTTTTTCTGATTTTTTTCGAATTTATCCGAATTTCCCCAAATTCCCAGATTTAATCTAAATAATCTGAAATTTTCGAAATACACAGATAAACCGCCGTACTTCATTTCTACCTCACTTTCAAACTCTTCTGAAGCCAATTGCGCCCTCAATCACACTCTCCACAATATCGCACTAAATCCAACCACCTGTGCACGTGTTATAGAGCAGCCACAGTTCAATGTCAATATTGACACATTGAGATAAGGGTCTAGAGCAGTTCTTGGCATGCTCAGGTGAGCGTGGTATTACTAGAGATTGGTTCAAGAGGTTTCTACTTACTCAGCAGCTTACATGTGCATTTCTGTACTTGCATCGACTTAGCTTAGTGCTCCACTTGATGATGTAATCAGTCTGTTAATGACTAACATATGATACAAGTAGGGTAACTTAGGATAACAGGATAACAGGATACAGTATCGTATGACCGTGCATGTTTCCCGTAAGGTCGATAATAAAACACTCTGCTGATAGCGATTATTTTCATAATCTCTAGCCACCGGTTCATCCGGAACATCTGGGTTAGGGTACAGGGTTAGGGCAGCTGGAAAGGCCCGAAAAGGGAAGTCGAGCCGGATCAAGCCGGAACTTTAACTGATTTCGGGTGAGGTCCGGCGTGAGTGTACAAAAAAATATACATCTTACATGTCGGATTATTTCGGAAAAAAAAAGTTGGGTGGATAGAGTAGAATTACAGGTTGTGTTTAGTGCGGTTTTTGGGATTCGAACTGAGAATCTTGCTGGTGTGTAGCTTAATTTATGAGCCGCATAAAATGAGACCAAAATGTGGTCAAGTGTGAGTTCAAGTAAGTTATGGGAAGAAGGGCGGAGAAAAGGAGTTGGAAAAGAGGTTGGATTGATGAAAATAGATGGTATTTTTGGGCAATTGACGATAATAAGAGAGTGGGAACAGGATGGGCAGCTTCGTTAGTCAGAAACTACTAATTCCGTCATGTTACATACTCCTCCTTTATCTAAACTTCAACTAAACTCAACTATAAAAAGAGTCATAGGGGTCATTTGTCCATTGGTGTCTGAATAAGCAAAAAGTGCTTTTGTGAGCGATATATCCGGGTTAATAAAGTCCAACTCTTCAATCTGACGTAATTTTCCCAGTCATATGACTTTTATTTCGACCTTTGTGGGTCATCATGTTGGGTCATATTCTTCTCCCTGGTATTCGATCTATCTCTATCAATACTTGTCTTGGAGTCTCGAAAATACTACCATTTTGTTCTTCTCAGCTTGCTGAATCTTTTAGTGTTGTTC